TAATTCTTTGTATAAACACACAGCAGCCTTTTTTACAGGCGCACAGCAGCCTTTTTTTACAGGCGCACCGCAGTTTTTTTACAGGCGCACAGCAGCTTTTTTTACAGGCGCACAGCAGCCTTTTTTACAGGCGCACAGCAGCCTTTTTTTACAGGCGCACAGCAGCCTTTTTTTACAGGCGCACAGCAGCTTTTTTTACAGGCGCACAGCAGCCTTTTTTCTACAGGCGCACAGCAGCTTTTTTTACAGGCGCACAGCAGCCTTTTTTCTACAGGCGCACAGCAGCCTTTTTACAGGCGCACAGCAGCCTTTTTTTACAGGCGCACAATATCCTTTTTACAGGCGCACAGCAGCCTTTTAATATAATTTTATATATTTTTCTATTTATATATATATTTTTTTTATTTATATAATTTTATATAATTTTTATATAATTTAATTTAGAATATCTAAAAAATAATTATTTTTTATATAAGTAAATGTAATAAAATTGTAATTATTATAAAATAATTACAAATATTTAAACACATTTATTACAAATACCTATAGATATAAAGATTTAAAATATCTACCGTCTCTCTCTCTTTCTCTCTCTCTCTCCCTTCACTCTTCTCTTCAACGTTTTAACTTCGTTTATCACTAACTCCTTTTTCGTAAAGTTTTACGTCTTTGACTCCTTTTTTGTTTGTACTAATTTCATTTATTATAATATTTTCTATTTTATTTAATCTATCCGTTATGACATTTAACGTAATTTAATATGAAACCAGCAACTTATATAATCATTTATTAAATGACTCACGTTAAAAAATCGAAACTCACTCCTAAGTAGTGATTTTTACAAAATCACACTAATAAGTAATTTAAAAAAAATTTGTGTACATGTTTGTGATTATGTGTGCAATTCATGTAAATAAACCTTTAATTTGTATGCCTTGACCATAGTAACATTTAAATTCAATATTCTTATGTTATACATACATTTCCTTCAACTTTTTTAAAATCAATGTGACATATAATACTGCTTAACCAAGATGTCTAAAGAGAGCAGCGAAAATGCATGCAGTTCAAATCAGCATAATGTAAGTAGATTTTAATTTTATAGAGAGAGAGAGAGAGAGAGAGAGGGGGGGAGAGAAGAGAGAGAAGAAGGAGAGAAAGAAGGGGGAGGAGAGAGAGAGAGAGAGAGAGAGAGCGTGTGTCTCAAAGAAAGAGGGAGAGAGAAAGAGAGAGAGAGCGTGTCTTAAAGAAAGAGATAAATAAGAATTATTAATTTATTATAGATATATTCTATATCTTTTTTTAGAATGACATCAGGTACTGCGAAACACTTTTTGTTGAAAATAATATTTTAAAGAGGCAATTGCAAGAATTGCAGCAGCCTGGCTATGGCGAAACAACCACAGCCCGCAGTGGTGGCTGCTGAGAATACACAGCCTGCAATGGTGGCTGCTGAGAATACACAGCCTGCAACGGTGGTAGCTATTGACGACCCACAGCCTGCAATGACACCGTCAGAGAATATAGAAAAAAATACATTCCAATGTAAGTATATAATAATAAAAAAAAATTTATAATAATAAAGAATTATAAATCAAAATAAATAATATATAATATCAATATTATTAATATTATATATAATAATATAATATTATAAATAAATATTATGTAATATAATCATTTTTTGCAGTAAACAGAAAGCTCGATGGGCAAGAGCCGGAAGAGGTCGAGAACGCGACGCGGCCGCGGCCGTGGACGCGGGCGTGGACGCGGCCGTGGCCGCGGACGCGAAAGCAGAATTATAAATTATATTACCATGTAATATCTAACATTTCTTCTTCTTAAATAAATTTTTTTTGCAAAAAGTGCTTCACTACTCATATTATAAAATAAATATAATAAAAAGAAATAAGATCGAGCTCTCCGAGTCGAGCGAGAGAGAGAGAGAGATCGAAGAGCAGAGAGAGAGCTCTCTGAGAGAGAGAGAGAGAGAGAGAGAGAGAGAGAGCGAAGAGAGAAGAGCTCGAAAAGAAAAAAGGGAGCTCTTCTCCCTCCCTCTCTCTCCTCTCTCTCTCCCTCCCCTCCCTCTTCTCCTCCCTCCTCTCTCTCTCCTTCTCTCTCTCCCTCTCTCTCTCTCTCTGTCTCTGTCTCTCTCTCCCTCTCTCTCTCACTCTCTCTCTCTCTGTCTCTGTCTTCTCTCCCCTCTCTCTCACTCTCACACTTTACTTTTTAAAATAATAAATATCTATAAATTATTAATATATATATATAGAGATATATTTTATTAAATAAATATATAGTAAATACATATTACGTATAATTTAAATATAAAAATTACATATTAAATCATACATTAGAAATAGATATTAAAATTATGAAAAAAATCAATGAAATGAATCATTATTAATTTATTTTTACATATCAATTTTATTTTTTTTTATATTTCTTGCTCTGTTTATCATTACTTATATCTTTTCGTTTGTTATTATTTTCCCTTCTTCTTTCAATTCTTCTTTCTTTATCTCCTGATTTTCAAATTCAATTAGTGCTTGTACTAAAATATCATCCAGCCCATCTTCAAGCACTGAAATTTTTAAAATTTAATTAGATATCTCTATATATAATGTTACAGATATAATAAAAGATATTATGCAACCAAAATATTATTAAAAAAATTTAAAAAATTTTAAATTAATTATTATTATTAATTTTTATTTACCGTCTCTAAATTCTTCCATGTCCCTTTGCCTTGTTGACATTTCCGTGCTGCTTTGCTCATCATAATTTATTCCATTGATTATAACGGCTTCACTACTTATGTTATTCTAAAAAAATACATATAATATATATATACTATTAAATTAATCTCTCTCTCTTTCTCTCTCTCTCTCTCTCTCTCTCTCTCTCTCCCTCTCTCCCTCTCTCCCTCTCTCTTCTTTCTTTAGAAACACACGCTCTCTCTCTTTCTCTTTCTTTCTTTGAGACACACTCTCTCTCTCTCTCTCCCTCTCCTCTCTCTCTCTCTCTCTAGAACACACGCGCTCTTTCTCTCTCTCTCTTTAAGACACATGCTCTCTCTCTCCTTATTTCTCTCCTTCCCTCTTTCTTTAAGGCACACGCTCTCTCTCTTTCTCTCTCTCTCTCTCTCTCCCTCCCTCTCTCCCTCTCTCTTTCTTTAAGACACTCTCTCTCTCTCTCTTCCTCTCTCACTCTCCCTTTTTCTCTGTCTCTATTTCTCTCTCTAAAATTAAAATCTACTTACATTATGCTGATTTGAACTGCATGCATTTTCGCTGCTCTCTTTAGACATCTTGGTTAAGCAGTATTATATGTCACATTGATTTTAAAAAAGTTGAAGGAAATGTATGTATAAGATAAGAATATTGAATTTAAATGTTACTATGGTCAAGGCATACAAATTAAAGGTTTATTTACACGAATTGCACACATAATCACAAACACGTACACAAATTTTTTAAAAATTACTTCTTGGTATGACCAAGTCAATAAATGCGTATGCACATGGGTGCGTGGGTGGATGAATAGGATGATAAAAATTTGTTAAAATTATAGTAGCCATCCCCAACAAAATTTGAATACAAATTTCGAAAAAGTCTGTGAATAAATGTGTGAATGCGTGGGTGGATGCGTGGGCGGGATAAAACTTTAAAAAACCACACAACAGCTTTCTCATAAAAATTTGCAACATTTTTGTACCAATTTCGTAAAAATTTGTCCATAAATGCGCACGCGCGTGGGTGAATGCGTGGGTGGGGGTGTAACACTTGAAAAAACCACATCCTCTTCATCTTCAAAAAATTTGCAACATTTTAGTACCAATTTAAAAAAAATCGGTTCATAAATATACGATTGCGTGGGTGGGTGCGTGGGTGGAGGGGTAAACTTAAAAAAATAAACCAGTAGTTTTCTCAAAAAAATTTGCAACATTTTGGTACTAATTTCGTTAAAATTGGTCCATAAATGCGCATGCGCGTGGGTGGATGCGTGGGTGGGTGCGTGGGTGGAGGTGTAACACTTAAAAAAACCGCATCGTCGCTATCTCCAAAAAAATTTGCAACATTTTGATACCATGTGTTCAGAAATATTGCAAAAAAAGATTAAACATACCCTCCTCTGTAGAAAAAAAAAAATTAAAAAATTAAAAAAAAAACCCCACAGCAAAATTTGCAACATTTTGGTACCAGTTTCACGAAAATCGGTCCACAAATGCGAAAGTAGTTCGCGTACATACATACAGACAGACGGTGCTTTTGGTCCATAAATGCGCACGCGCGTGGGTGAATGCGTGGGTGGAGGTGTAACACTTGAAAAAACCACATCGTCTTCATCTTCAAAAAATTTGCAACATTTTAGTACCAATTTAAAAAAAATCGGTTCATAAATATACGATTGCGTGGGTGGGTGCGTGGGTGGAGGGGTAAACTTAAAAAAATAAACCAGTAGTTTTCTCAAAAAAATTTGCAACATTTTGGTACTAATTTCGTTAAAATTGGTCCATAAATGCGCATGCGCGTGGGTGGATGCGTGGGTGGGTGGGTGGGGGTGTAACACTTAAAAAAACCGCATCGTCGCTATCTCCAAAAAAATTTGCAACATTTTGATACCATGTGTTCAGAAATATTGCAAAAAAAGATTAAACATACCCTCCTCTGTAAAAAAAAAAAAATAAAAAAATAAAAAAAAAACCCCACAGCAGCCATCCCCAAAAAATTTGCAACATTTTGGTACCAGTTTCACGAAAATCGGTCCACAAATGCGGAAGTAGTTCGCGTACATACATACAGACAGACGGTGCTTATATATATAGATATGTTATTAATATAATTATTTATATAATATATATTAATATAATATATGAATATATAATATATAATTAATATATTATTATGATTTAATATATAATATATAAAATATATAAAAAATGGCAAGGGGATAAGTTCGCGGGCGCTCTAGTGTCAGACATAAAGATCGCATAGAGATTGAAGATAATGAATGGTACAAGTTTATTTTATCGATACAATTGCAGATGGGAATTGGATTCGTGCACACGTAAGCACACAGGTAATCTGCATACTGTTTCCACTCTATTCCCTTTTTCTAAGGTTATTCTGCATTGCTCATGTCTTAAATATGTGTGACATTTCCCTTCTTAATATTTCTTATATCAAAAGCATTCGTATAATCATTAATACAGTAATATAGGCGATTAAGAATCATCAAATAACGCGCGATGCACCGCTCCTAAACTCGGTTGTACATAACTCGAGCTGACGCTGCGCCTTGATCTGTAGGAAAGAAATTGTCGTAAAAAAAGGGAGCTCCCTTGCCTCTTTTCAAATGACATATTTTGAAATTGTTCTCTTGTACATTATAAAACTTTGAACTGCAACCACAATTTAAATTGTGACATTAGATGCAAATAATTATTGCAAAATTATTTCATATGACACCAAAATAAATGAGCTTGTATTACATTTCGGGTTTCGTCATCGAGATTCAAGCTGTGCGTTTTTTAATATATATCGAAAAATTTTGTTACTCACTCTGTAAGAGATCGCACTGCTGGTCCTGTTGGATTGTTTTTTGGTCGTGGATTAACAAGAAGGCATTTCATCGGATGGCCATCTAATTGTCGATTATGGTAAGTTTCAACTGCTTTAGTCGCATCCTTCAATGTTTTATAAATTACTTCTGCCGTGCCTGGGCGAACTAATCTCGATACCAGCAGCTCCCCAACGTCTTCAAATAATTCCTACAAAATACAATTTTTATTCATAAAAACTTTGTAACAAGTAAGTCATTTAAAAAGTAAGTTGTTATACCGCACCTTGATATCCTCTTGTGTGACATTTGCTTGCAAGTTGGATACTACAATTCGATAGCCCGTTGACTGCGTTGATAAACTTGACGAACTTGCTTTTGGTCGCGATAAAGCGCCCATTAATCTCGATTTATTCACAGATGAATCAAGACGCGATTTAACTCCTACGTCTCGAAGACTTCTGGAATCATAGTACTTGGAATCTGCGGGTTCTTCCGCTAGAATTGTTCTATAATCAAAATTATAAAGAACATATATATAGATAATACATTTGTCAATAATCATTCTTTAAATTATATATGTTTTTAATTATATATTTAGGAATATTTACCTTGATTTTGTTCCAAAACTCCAATCTTCCTTGTAAGGAGGCGAAGCAGTCTTAGTCTATAATAAAAAGACCAAAAATTATAAAAATTGAGTTCTCACTACAAATTACAAGAATCTCTCATAAAAGATTTTACTGCATAATTACTTACCATTGAAGAACGTGGAACAAGTTTATACTCTCTCTGTCTTTCTCGTTCTCTTTCTATATCAGATTTTCGAGCTGGAATTCTAGTCACATTAGAGCTTGCAGGCTTTACCCAAGTATATGGAGATGCTGGAATATTGAACACAGGGGGTGGAGGTGGTGGTGTTGGTGCATACTCGTTACTCACAGTCCTCCTCAATGAAGGGGAATCCATTAGATAATCTGAATAAAATAAATTGACGTTTTAATGTTTTTCACATATTACGTTTGTAAAATACATCTTAAAAATATATATATATATATATGGTAAATACATCATTAAAACTATATATTCATATTATAGTTTACATACCATCGGTGTAATCCATACTCAAGTCTCCTAAATAATGAGGCTCGGAAAGAGTGGGTGGTCTGTAGCCTACAACCCTTGTAGGAGCTGATATATTTGGTGGTAATACGTGCGGCATCAAAGGCGGCACCTTGTTCGTCGATAATGAAAGTCTGCCATTTCGACCAGTTTTGCGTGAAATTCCAGGAAGCTGCACATCCATCTTTTTATATTGAGACGCACGAATCTTGTCCAACTTGAGTCTTGCATCGCTCTGCTTTGCTATTTCCGCAAGCTTGTCTCTGGCATCGGTCAGTTTTTCACGATTCTTCTGTATTATTTTAAACCGTGCATCCGTAATTACATGCGAGCCACGTCCTCTCATATGGCCATTCGCACGTGAGCCTCTGTTGAGTCCCCTGCGAATTCTGTGCAACAATAAAACATTGATATTTTTACCTCAAATTTCCAGCAATATTTAAACAAACTGCGACAAGATCAATAAACATAATTTTATGAACCTCATTCAAAGTTATATAAATCATGTAAACAATATTATATTATCATTCAAAGATGTTCGATAAACACAGATTTTGCTTTCGAGTTACTTACAACATAAGCATTTAATATGTCATACATTATGCGCGCGCCAATTTATTCTCTCCGACGATTCCGTTAATATACTATTAAATACGTTAATTCAAACGAAAAATATGTCGAGAGCTAAAATTTTGGATTACGAGATAGCGATTTTTCTTGACCGAAAAAAACGCGATAGTGCAGGTTATAAATCTATGACGGAGCAAAGCTAAAGAGAATTTAGTTGAACAATTAGATGAATTTAGCTCACCCTCCTCTGCCTCTCATTCCCGATGACTTCGACTTTTTAATAATGTCATCTAAACTTAAACCCATATCAGCCATACCGTACAAATTCGATTACACACAACCGAATCAACCGAATTGAAAAGTTTCAATTCAGGTTACGGTTACTAGGAGTACTGGACCAAAGAAAACAGACGAGTATAGAAGAACGACCGCGCACACAATCACGTTATAAAAAAAATTATAGACGCGGAGCGCACGCGCCGTCTGTTCCCCCACCAAAGCGACACTGGACCGAACAGTCACGGTGTCAAAATAATATAGATGCGGCACGCACGCACCGTCTGTTCCCTACCACACCACCGAGTAGCGGCGCAGAAATCGATGCACGCCATGATTGTTGACAATTCGAGAAAAATGTCAAAAATCTGACAGATCGTAAAATAATTTGACAGCTGATACAGTTTTCCTTAGACTAATTACATGATGGATAGTGACAGGCAGCTCGACATTTCTATCGTGAAATATTTAACGAAACAGTTTCTTTGCTGTACTGTGATGGTTAAGATGAATTTCATGGTATGTAAATACACATAATTTTATGTAATGGTAATTTGACAAAATATGTTTTCCAGCCTTTGGATGGAAATATGGATTATCCTTTTAGTTTAGATATCCAGAAGCAAATCTTAGATAGTACAATAAATAGCGATTTGATTAAACAATATCCGTTGAAAATGTCATATCAGAAAGCGTTTTTAAAGTTATATATGACAAAGGTACATATTTTTCTTTAAAATTTATATAAAATAGTATAATATTGCTTAAATTATAAAAGGTACACAAATTTTTCTATTTTTACATATATTTTAGATAGAAGAAAGCGGTAATGAAATTCATGACGATTTATATACAGCATATTGTAGATTAATATCGTTGCAAGATGAAGAATCTGTACATTATCGGCATTTTTTGATAGAAAATGGAACATTAAATTGTATCACATTGAAGGAAAGTACAAATCTGATTTCTAAAGGAACTACAGGTTTATGTAGTTGGCAGGTAAAAATTTATCTCCTTGCTCAAGAAAAATCATTAAATAACATTTATAATTTATAAATTAATACATTTGAAAATTATTAAAGCAAAACATATACTGTAATATAATTATAGGGTGCTGTAGTATTAAGTGATTGGTGCGCAGAAAATATAGAACAGTTTCATAAAAAGAATATATTGGAACTTGGATGCGGAGTTGGATTGACCGGTATGAGCATTATTAGTGTATGCTCTCCAAAGCAATATATTTTCTCTGATTGTCATCCAACAGTACTAGATATGCTTTGTGAAAATGTAAAACTTAATTTTCCATTGAATAAACAACATAAACTATCAAACATGTGTGATAAACCATTAAGGCTAAAATTGCAATTAAAATATGAACAAACTGATATTCAAATAATAGATTTGAAATGGGAGGATATTGATAAATATGTAACAGAGAATTTCTCGCAACCCGACGTAATTATTGCCGCTGATATTCTCTACGAAAGCGATTCGTTTGATTCATTGACATTAGGATTAAAGCATCTTTTAACATCAAATAATTATGCTGTTTTTGCTGCTACAATTCGCAATGAGGACACTATTTCGCAGTTTTTGAAGCATTTAGGTATAATTTTTTAATGCTTAAAAATTAAAGAAAAATTTTATCAAAATCTTTACACAAGAGGAATCGAAATATAAAAAAAAATCCAAGTTTTTTTCATTTTAGGAAATCACAATCTTGCTTTCAAAGAGTGTGTCGCACCAAAATGGACAGTGTTGATACAATCGATTAATTCGCCTGTTCGAATATTCAAGATTTTTCGGAAGATTTGACGTCATCATTTTATATTAAATAATTGATATTATCGATTTATTTACAAATGGGAGATAATCAGACTAGGAGGATAATTAAACAAGCGAATTTATTAATAACCTTAGCGTAAATTCCTATACAGAAAGAATTTTCTCTTACAATTTACCCTGAAAATCATGGTAATCGTGGGACCATATGGTATTAGAAGAATTTTATGAGTTTATCCGATTAACATTTTTACCACAATAAAAAATATTAATATCTATCACAATAAGATATAATATAAATTCGATAAATGTTATTATGTACATAATAAAACTAATTTTTTATGTACATAGTGAACGAGTTGTTTAGGAGACAGGTCAAATTAATGCTACTAAGGAAATAGTAAAGACTAGAGGAACATGCTGAAGCAAAATATCAAATACAATGTCTCATGTAGAAATTGTAGGAAGACGGAATGAAATTGTTGAATGTTTGGAAATAGATCGTCGAAAGAAAGTGGAGAAAGATAAAAGCATAAATAAACAATTGTCCCTTGATTACCATAATTTTCACGGTAAATTCTAAGAGCAAATTTTCTCTGTGTACATACATAAATAACAAAATGTTAAAAATTATGTATAAAAGTATTAAATATGAAATATATTTTGTATAAATCTATCTTAACTGTTAACTGTCACACGACTCAAAACCATTTTCTTCTATGGCGTTTGAGTTTTACCTCAGTCTCATCCACATCTTTATCGGCGTCTTTTTTCACGACTTTTTTAAGTTTTCTTAATTTTTCCTTCGTTTTCCCCTTTTTTGTTTTTTCCGCGTTGGAAGAATCGTTATTTCTGTCCGATAGCTCATTCTTATTTCTCGCTAGAAAGACAAGTATTATTATTAACGCGAAAACTTATTAAATTTTACATTAATGACATCGTGCATGTTCACTTACCAGCAAATAAACCCATATGCTTATTTATACTCTTATCTTCCTCCACCTCCCTTCGACGATCCATCTCCAAGCATTCAACAATTTCGTTCCGTCTTTCTACTATTTCTACTAATCTGTAATACAAAGAAAAGCATTGCATACATTTTTATAATCTTTTAAATATTTAATGTTCTTTAGTTTAAATTTTTTTAAATATTTTACATAAATAACACATTTCTAGAATACCTTTGTATTAATGCTTCTTCCCTCTGTTTGTCAAAGTCCGTTTTAGTAGCTTCTGGTTGGCACATGAGACATCGTATTTGATATTCCACTTCAGCATGTTCCTCCTCTAACCTTTGCTGTCGTCTTAGTAGCATCAATTCGGCCTGTCTCCTAAACAATTCGTTCTTCTCGTTCACTAATGCAAACAATTCCAAAACCAGTTCCTCCACATCCGTGCCGAGCGATGAATCTGTCAATTGAACGGATGACAATAATTACATCTTTATAGTAACTTATACACACAACTTTGATTACGCGATTTTTACCTTCTGTTCTACCTTCTGGTCCGGATTCGCATTTGTCTCGTATCAATTGTTCCAATCGTACGCCTTGTCTTTCTAAACCTTGTTGTTGCAATTCTATTTCATCTAATTCTAATTTCACGTCTTTCATAGATATTACTTTGATCTGCAAAGAAAAACATCTTGATAAGTAAATCTTAAATCTTACCATTGCATTGATATAACACATATTTTATGATAAAAAAATAGAATTTACCTTTCTCCTGTGCGGAATTGGTCGCGGTGGTGCGGGACCTTTTTTCCTCTTCCACTTTCCTTGGATGCTTTTGTCAGTATAAGACGTGTAAGAGGAACTATCGGTGCACAAGATGCCGCTCAAGCTCTGCCTATTTCGATTCGTCTCGTCTTTGTTCGTTTTCTGATCTTCCCACATATTTAAACTGCGATCATCGCCGCGAAGGTTGATTATGGGAGATTCCTCAAAACTTGGCGCGTGACCAATCGATATGTTGCGAGGTGTACTGGTTGGCATTGGCGGTGGAGGTGCCGGTTTGGTTTTCCGAGCTCGTGGCGTCGTGCGAGACGATGGGGAATTCTTTAAATAGTGGAATAATAAAATGAAAATCTTTTTTCTCTCCCGAGATTTATACAAATTTGATCTCAGTTTAAAATGGAGATCAAAGAAATAAGTCAAATAAAAGATTAAGCATTTTAAAACATACGTGATACGAGGATGGTGTATTACACTTGGACGATTCATGCTGATCGGACGGAAACAGCTCCTTTGCGGCCGGTGGCTGGGGAGCGAGCTTCTTTTTCCTGTACGTTCCACTAGGAGTTGTGGTCGATTCGGAGCTGGTCAAAGAACTATTGGACGCGTACATGCTTCCACGATTCAAATCGGCTCTTCGTATAACGCTTACCTCGGAAGTGGTCCTGCATAATAAGAAAATTATTCGCATGCTCGTATTCGCTGAAAGGGTCTAAATAATATTCAAATAAGGTACAACATACTTGATAGTGCGCGGTTTCGGTACAGGCGCATTTCCTTGCTGCCTTGTACTTCGTTCCTCTTCGTCGCTATCGTGTTCCTCTTCCTCGTCGCTCCAAAATGGATTTAGATTGATTTGCGGCGCGGCCAGAATCCGCTTGGTTACGGGCGCTCCCGTTACGGTTCCCCGATTTCCCAGTTTACTCCTAGCCGCTGGTTTCGGTGCTTCGGGTTCTTCGACATCTTCGTCCTCGCTGTCAAATGGATTAGTGGACACTTTGCTGTTTCTTGAGCTATCTATCGTGGTCCGTACTTTGCCTTCCGTAATGTTATCCTCTTCATCGCTCTTGAAGGGATTCAGGTCTTCCGGATAATCCTTGTGGTCGCTTAAATCGATGCCTCTCGCGGTTAGCACACTGCTTCCTACGTTCTCATAAGATTTTTCTGTTTCATTATCTTCTCTTCGTTCAATTTTCGCGAGGCTCTCCTTTTCTGTCTCGATGCTTTCAACTTTCGAGCTTTCTTTGAGCCGCGCGTTATCGATAGCTTGTTGTTCTTCTTCATTATTCGCTCGTACAACGTCTTTCGAGAAACTCTCCTTGCGTTTCTCTAAACTCGCAATGGTCGAATTGTCTTCCTTTTGTTGTTCGCCGATGTTCTCAAAACTGTCTTTGTATTTATCGATACTTTTGATCATCGGGTCTTCCTCGAGCCTCTTTTCCGAACGTTCTTCCTGATTCACTCGAAGAACGTCTGGTTCCAGGTCCCAGGAATCGCCCTGAGCCACCGGACTTTTCCCTTTGCCGCGATCCATTTTCGCGGTATAATCTATTTGGTCCCGAGTCTCGAACATCTGGAGTCTCTTCTGCACCAAGGACAGTCTCGTTTCGGGATTGGCTCGTTCATTGACGCGTCCTGGCGACTCTTTGGTATCTTTATCTCTGCTCTCCTTATCTATGTCATGGAATGAAATGGCAGTCGATCGCTGATCCTCGTCGCTCCTAATGTCTAAGCTATTTAACATGCTATGTACATTGTTTCGCTCGACGCCGAACTCCTCCGCGTCTGGAGAAGAATCCGTCGCGGAGCTACGAGATTTCTCATCTTCCTCTTCCTCTCCTTCCTCCTCGTCCTCTTCGTTCTCGTCGTCGTCTGGGAATGCCGAGTCGATCCTGCTCTTCCCCTCCTCGCGATAATCGGAGTCGACCTCGACATCCTTTGCGTCCGCGTCTCTCGCGGTGGACTCGTCGATCTTCTCGGAGAGAAGGTGGCCGGCCATGAAACTCTTGCGCATCTGCGATGTGTGGGAGATCAGATCGGGCACCGTTGCCTTATCCAACAGGCTCTGCGCATCCTGCGTACACGACAAAAGTTTGCTTAATACTTATTCCGAAATAAATAAAAATTACAATTGTAATAAAAATATATAAAAATATATTTTAAAATATCTGACCTTTCTCTCCGTCTTCTCCTCGTCGCTGAGCGGCCTCGACGGTTCATCCATCGTCGTCGACTCGGCGTACTTGCGACGTACGCTGGCGGATATCTCCTCGTCCGGACACGTCTCGCAGCAGTACTGGCCCTTCTCGGTTTCGTAGTAGTTGCCCGGCGTCAACTGGTTGCTGCAGCGTGCGCACCGGAAGCAGGTACGGTGATAAGGAGCGCGCGCTATCAGCAGCTTCTCCGCCAGGAAGACCGGCAGCCCGCATGCGGTGCACGGATCCCTCCGCATCCCCAGACGCGACCCCACCTGCGTTATCAGGTCGGACACACATATCGAGACTGTCGCCATTATTTTCCTCTAGTTTCTCGTTCTCCAGCGAGCGAATCAACAAAGCCAATTTATGCAGACAGCTGTCACCCACCGTCACCATGAATTTTTTTTTCTCTTTCGCACCAGAGATTATCGCATCAAATTTAATCCTAACGTGCAGTCTACGTTAACGAAACAATTTTCGGAAAAATTGGCGAAAAGGTTGAACGTTGAAGCGCCAAATCTCAGCGATATTATTATTACACTCGGCTGGAGGAGTGCGCGTATAGCCGAAGATAAATATTGACAAATTGTAGGTCGCATTTGTAACGAGCCATTGGATATCGACGAGCACCTCGCCGTCGGCCTTACGCCACCCTGGCTTTTATACGCCAGCCAGCGAATTTCCACAATGCCATACATCTCCGCGGTATTATCGCGACATGCATCTAACGTTTCCCGGTGAATTCAATAATAATACATCGAATAGCCGCGGCTTCTATATGTCAGGCATGTATATCATACGGCTGTAATTTAATGTAACGAGGCCGTCGCTTTGCAAGCGGATCTTCTTTATAAAAAAAAATGAGGTGATCATCGACATTATTATTTTTTTTTTTTAATTACTTCTTCGATTTTTCTCGACAGGATCGACGGGGAGAAAATTTTTTCCGCGAAATTCTGGGTTCTCGAAGAAGTTGGACGATGATTTGCCGGTATTATGGACGTTCAATCGAGCGTTACTCTTGGTCGGAAAAGTTAAAAGTTCCATCGTAAAGAGACTCCGCCAGGGTCGAGAAAAAGTTCCACAGACGCGCAGAAAGATCGTCTCGAAGAGGAATCGCATCACCGATTATTTTTATCCGCATACATATGCAAATGAGACGGTGGTGTGTGCTCTGTGACGGAAAACTGATTCGATTAAAACCGATGACTCGTATAATCAAACTGTATCATCCCTCCGAGAGTTCCTTTCGTTCTTTCGTCGCGCGTAAGAGTTAATACTAATCCTTCTCGCTGAAAAATGACATGGATGATAGGTTGCTAACCGCAAAATCGATTTCCATTAAACTTTCATCGAATGCCACGTGCATGAGTTTTACATAGACGGTTAAATAAAGCGGCGATCGATCGCGGGTTGATAACAAAAAAAAAAAAGAAAAAAGAATTTGCTCCCCGTGTCGCAAGATTTCTAGAACCGCAACGCAAATCCTCTCTCTTTCTATACACATTGGAATTATCGTCGCGTCTATCGCAAATATAACGTATTAATGAGAGTTACAGTATCATCGCTGTTGTGTAGCTCTTGATTAATCGCGATTTAATTTAATTAAACCGACGAAAACGCGCGGGTATCGTGTCGAGTTCTCTCTCACGAGCAATGTTTCCCAACGATTATACGGCGAGAGAGCACAAACATCTGACGTATCGATTTTCTCGAGGGACATTAAGCGCACAATTAATTAATCCAATCGACGAGACAAACGCAAAATGTTATTAAACGTAAGCGTACAATGTATAAAAATATTCCAATCTTCTAAAATTCTTCCAAATGTCATACAACTGTTCGCGAGTTCGCGAACTCCTTAATAAAGTCTCCACCCTATCAAGACAAGAAAAAAAAAGAGTTCGAAGGTAGAATTTTCATCGGACGTTTTCTCTTACCGTATAGTGTCTTGGTGAACGGAAAACAGAATTACAGTGACGATTCGACTGTGTGGAACTCTCGTAGAGAGGCTGCTGACCGCGCGCGTCCGATTTCTATTGCGTGAGTGAGCGAACGAGCGAAGCGAGCTGACGCGTGAGTGCGTGAGTGCGCGAGTGCCTGCTCGCATGCATGCATATGTACACGTCGAGTACACGCAACGAGTGGCAATGACATATAAATAGAACGTCGCGCTCCACCGAGTCTCTCCGCACATGATTAATTATTACTTTCCTCGACGTTTACCTGGACTACGTAACGCCGCGATGGCTATAGATATACCACTATAAACTTCAATAAATATAAACTAAATAAAGGCAAATATAAGCTCCCTCGCATTAAACAAAGCAGCATAGTCTCACGCGAGAGACGCAAAAGTCTATGTATCTATGTATACGTATATATATCGGTTCCGAAAAGTGCCACCGAGTGACGGACGGTTCTTGGGCGTTCTCGGTCGCTTCCGGGTGACGGAGTTTATTGGTCAAGCTCGATCAACTACCTCTATCGAAGGTATACGTCGGGCGAGACCGACGGGCGACGTGTCGTCTGGAGGAGCGCGAGACAGGAGGATTGATCGATCGTGTTCCGGGTCGATTCTTTCAGCCGGGGTATAGGCGACACCCGGACGTGCAAGAGTAAGTATTTCACACCGGGAGACACAATCGGCTCGAGACCGTCTATTTCAATGGCCAGGCCGGGGTCGTGACGGAATTTTCGCCTCTCGTAAATTCCATTGCGCCCGGAAAATAAACGTAAACGCGTAAAATTATCATCCTCGGACACGAACGACGAAGACTCTCGTATTGTCGTAAAAAAAAGAAATATATACATCTAAAATATACGTACGGTGAATAATAATGACGTGGCGGTGTCGTTAGCCAGCATGACACGAGGAAATGTAACAATTTCTACGAGGAACAAGTATAACAAGAGAGAGAGACCGTTTCGTGCAAGAAACGAGCCTCGAATGTCCAGGTTGGCGTCTTATAAACTTACTCTCTTTTTTCCTTTTTTTTTCTCATTCTTTATTCTCTCGTGGAAATCAACCGCGGAGCGCGCTAGTTCTACTTTTACCTAGTCGTTAACGGGAAAACGTTAAACGATGCCTCATTTTTTTCCTTTGTAAATCACAAACGCACACGCGTGTTATCGAAAGATTATGCGTAGAACGGACAGCGTGTGTTCGAGACATGCGAGCATGCAGCTTACCCAACAACCACAAGCAAGCAAAACAATAACGACAAAGCGAAATTACCTTCTAGCAGAATATTTCAGGTTTATATTGCCCCATTAAGTCCAAGCTTTCCTCCTGGAGAACAAAAAGATACGATGAGATGGGAAGGGGGTAGAGATTGACAATACGCGAGGAGATTCCCGACTATTTCCGGAGGAGAGATTTCACTCGAATTCTCTACAGATTATATATTTACGCCGCCTGCATTCGCTTCATTTCCTCTTCTCTTTCTTTTTCTCCTCTTTTTCTTCTTTCGCTTTACCTGGATAATCCACCGAGCGGTTTTTAGAGACAACTACGACCTTTTGCCAATCCAACATCAACCGAAATGGACGTCCGTCGTTGTGTAAAAGCTTACGAGTGTGTGGGTTCGCCGCGTGACTCACGCGTGGCAGCTTTAAACTACGAGCGAACGATTATGCGAACCACGATGAACGAAACCCGACCCACGCGCGATACGTATTCATCGTGTATATCCGTTCTCGTTCCTCCTCGACTCGAGAGTTAAACGAGTTAAAACCGCCGACGTGTTGCTGAACAACGTCTCTCGACGTTTTGACCTTTCGTCAATCGCCCTAAATATGACTAACCGAGAGAGACCTGGCAGCGAGTTCTCGAGTTCGCGGTGGATCGAGTTTTGATAACGAGTCGTGTTGTCCGCGATAAGAGTAATTAGCGTAAGCGATATCTCGACTTGGTTATAACAAAGCGTCGTAATAATTTCAAAAAAGACAGACCTTGCTACGAGGAAGTATATCTTATTCTCGTCGTGGGATTTTCAGCTTTGTAATTTGACAGGATATCTAATCTACGGAGAGAATTTTCTCTTGGAATTTATCCTGAAAATCATGTAATAATATGGTATTGGAAGAATTTTTTATTAGTTTCTCTGATATACTTAATATTTGCGCCACAATAACAAATATTAGTATACACAATAAGATGTAAAATCTGTTCAGTTAATTTTACTGCACTGAAGAAAATTCATATAATTTTATAATAAAATTTACTTACAATTAGTCAAAAGTTGAAAAATTACTTAATTATGACTGTAATTTTTCTCCCATATTTTTTTAAAGTGAAAATGCATATATTAATGTAAAAATATAGATAAAATTACTATAGATAAAATTATTTTTACTTTATTAGAACTTTACTTTATAAGCATTTATTCATTTTATTTATATAACATTATTTTATAACATTTATACATTACTAGCATTTCCTCTGTGTAATTCCATATTCAGTGGAATATTTTTAATCTTGAAATATATAAAATATATTTCATATGAAATTACACATAAACTGTAATCTTCCATATGAGTAGCGATATATTGCACGATTATGCTGGGGCTCAAAAAAAGCCTAGCGCATAGTCATGTAATTTTACACATATATTTTTATTAATGTATGTACATATTAATATTTTTATTGCGATAAATATTAATCAGAAAAACTCTTCCAATACCATATATTGTCCCAGGATTACCATAATTTTCCGGGTAAATTCTAAGAGAAAATTTCGTGCAGGTTTCCACGTGACTTCTGTCTCGAGCAATAATACACTTTCAGATTCTTTCGATAGGTTTCCCGTGGTAGGTCGCTTAAAAACAACGTGAAGAGAAAATCGACGAGGTCTATCTACAAGATCTTGAAGAAATTCGCGAGCAAACTAGTTTCGGAGCAACGTGTTAACTTGGTGCGCGACTCTCCAACCAGAACGTTGAAGGTAAAAAACAAATATACCTTCCGAAAGAGAATAATTGTGTATCAGTATATATGTATATGTGTCGAAACTTGTAAAAAAATCGAACATGTTTTCCTCAGTCTCGCAATTCGTCTTATTTATCAACTTTTACTTATTCTAGCGTATCATGCAAACTAACGGCCTGATCAATCTAATTAACACGATCCCATCGTTTAAAGAAAGTTTCAAAAATTATGTCAGAATTATTAACGATAAAATTTCAACAAAGCGGATCTGAACGGTGTTCAGAAACCGCATAGAGACAGGTGTAATTAAAATAATAATAATAATAATAATAGTCCCGCAATTCGCTCGACTTTTTCGACGCGCATTCTCTCTCTCATGCACACGCTGCCATCGGTGAATACAAACGAACGTCCGTGTCGACCTAGGTAGCACTAGCGGACGAGTACCGGGAATCGAGATCACGAAGGCGGCACGTAGTGACTGACAGAAGCGGTCATTGTCGGCCGCAAAATCGCCGGCTAAATGGATCCCCGGGACAGATAACCGCGCGCACGCCAACCGCGCGTTTTCTCGCGTCCGAAGGTTTTCGTCTTCGTGACCTTCGAGTCGTTTTCTCGACGATGCGGAAGAGCGATCCTATAACGATCCGCGATTTGCAAATTTTATCCAACGGTGCGAACGATGTAAAAAAAGTCTCAGAACTCTGATGTTTCCAACTTCTTGATAAGTTTTATCCGAGACAGGCAGCGCATTTTCGTTCCTTTCCACAGACAAGTTCTCGTATCTCAGATAAGAAAAAAAGAGACGAAGATATGCTATCTCTCGGGTAAAACTTATACCAAAAAGTAAACCGACCCTACGCTGTAAAAAAAAAAAAATATGTTTTTGCGCGAGACCAACGAAAATAAACGCGACACAAACCTGGTAACATTGCACGAGGACAGATCTATAACATCTTCAGAGAAACATCGACGAGCGTATCGTTAATTAATCATTCGCAGAAAGCACAGTCACACAAGCTACTGAATATGTATACGTATATGTGTGTATGTAATGTATGTTCGTTGAAGGCAAACGTCACATTTTGGATCTCACATTGCGTAACATATCACGTCCATTTATTGTTATGAATTTTATCGAGCGCACATAAAGTTGATGGATTCTGTGTAAATACAGATGTGTACGGATGACACAGAAGTATAATCGATCGTTCGTGCGGGGTGCGCGTATGTATTTACGTATCTGTGACTAACATGCGTATCTCTCGCCTACGCGCTCATCTTCGACCGGTCGCCAAGCGAGAGATAATGGAAAAAGAGCGAATATATATATATAAAAAAAAAAAAAAAAAAAGTAAAGAGGGACGGACGCCCGTGTGTCGATAATGCGCGCGTTTGCGTGATTACGCAAACGCAATGACGGCATATTTGTTGTTGCAACGCGCGAGATGAGACCGGGATGTCAAGGTGAATCGTGAACGAGCGAGTCTCCTCGAGAGATCCTTCTCTCGGCTGCGAGAAAAGATCCAAGATCCACGCGGAGGCTTTACTACTAAACTGCGCGTCTTCGCGATCCTTTTTTACAAACTCGAAAAAAATGAACGACAAACATGATCTCGCGATTCGAGTGCTTAGACGCAAAAAGAAAGAGAAAGGAAAAAATCTCCCGTATTTCTGTATAAAGACGAGTATGGTAAGTGAGGTTTTGGAGCGTGACTCGATTTTACAAGACAATGGTCCTCCGTTTCTGGGGAAGCTTGAGAAAATTGTCAAGCCCGCGAATTCACGAAACTATATCGCGTGTACAAAATTATGACGTTTCTATTGAAAACGAAAAGTTGGGGGAGCAGGGAACCGGCAAAAGAAAGTAACAAAAAGCGGGTCTGCCTTCGGTTGATCATATATTGTTATCACAATATCATACAACGGCGTACCTTTTGTTTAGGAGATTCCGGAACAGGGGCGATCCTCTCGTCGGCGGTCTCGGTTGTTCTGGTCGTTGCTAAACGACTTGGCGACGATCCTTTAACAAAACGCAATATATTCCATTAATCATTCATCCATTCATTTCCCTCTTTCGTTTCGTTACCCAAGAAACCTTCCCGGTGGGAAGAATATGGTTAAAGTTTGACGGGAAAAACATATAATATATATATTTATTAAAATGCAAACAACGTCTTGCTTTCCTTGAAAGAAACTTAAAGCGGAAGCAATTCCCCTTGCTGGCCGGCGTAGTTACAGATCGATGAAATGCTGATGTGGTTTATGGAACTTTCCTCTGTGGCGTGAATATTTATGCGCGAGAAGCTGAAGGTACCGCTATTGCCGGGCTGGTATTAGTCCAGGCGGAATGGAAGCGGAAATACGCTTTTGTTTGAACAATAATATTGACTCTTTCGCGCAGCAAGGCGGGACGAAGAAAAGTTGTTCAACTCGTTCGCATAAAATTGCTTACTTATGTACCGTCGCGATCAATCTACGCGATTCGACGGAAGAAACGAATAAGAATAATATAATTCGTCTCGCTCCTTCTTCCTCCTAGATCTCTCTCGAGAGGAAGTGTGCATTTATCCTTTCCCCATTACCGCGAGATACACCGTTAAGGAGGATATCTGTGCTAAAGTAAAGTGCACACACACGGCGCCCTTCGCAAAACCCTCCTTCATCCACCACCTTCCGCTTACTTGTGTGTACTAAAGTACTAACTAATGCGAGTCCACGACGCTATCGTTCGTCCGGGGACTATCTCTCGAGGCCTAATGTAGCTATAAAGCGGACAAGACGTCGACTACCGCGAGCAATGTGGCAATTTCCTCCTTGCAGGTAGTGATTTGAGAAACGGGATAGGTCCTCACGAAGCGCGTTAATTTGCAGCCGTGCGGCCATTTACGGAGAGACCGAGGAAAGGGTTTCCTGAGATCGGGATTAACCGTCGTTCAAAGGTTAACGGGACGGTTAATCTACGGAGAATATTCTATAACATTATATAGGAGTCGAGAAACGCGGGTGGACTTTTAATAGATTTACGTGCATCTCCCCTGTATTAAAGTAGTTCTATCGCTACAATATCAACTAAAAGTTTCGCCTCTAATCGATAAGGAAATTCATCGTTTATATACAATGTTACCGTAGCAACAATTTTAGTTGAGTCTGTACAGTCTGAACCTCTTCACATAGAAACAGCTCATGTATGAATACACATCATCATTGCAATTTCTCTCCATGTTTCGTTTGGAAAAAAAATTCATTTCTTTGAAAAGTAATATCTTTGAAACCAAACGGTGGAAAAAATTCATTATTTTTTTTTTTAAATAATCCCACACTCATATTGTATACTCCACTGGTTTTTTATTGAAATCGTAAGATCCGTTCTATTGTTATATATTAAAATGTGATGAAAATGCCATCCTTTTCACGTGGTGTATAGAAAAAATACTATTTTTAATTGTAAATAACTGTTAAACTAAACGGTGAATCGACTTCAAAATTTCGTAATCGATAGATATTAACTCCGTCTACAACATATTAAAATTTCTAAAAATTCGTAAGAATTGTGAAAAACGATAGAACTACCTTAAGCCATGTCCTCGCTGAGAAACACTTGACAAACGTCAACGAAAAGTTGCTCGTTAAATTGTTGCTCCAGTGAGGACGCGATTAAACATGAACAAAAAGTTGCTAGTTGTTGCTGCAAATAGGACATAGCTTCGATATTAGAGCTCCGCGATTCGCGGATCATATATTCTTCGAACGAGTGACGAGCTATGGAAAGAGAGAGAAATTGTGCCGAGAGAAGAAAAAATTCGCGCGCCTTATAAAATCGACGCTTTGCGTAACGAAACGCCGCCGGGTTTCAAAGCGAGAGCTAGAAATCAAATAATTCACGCCGCAATCTTTTCTCGGCGCGGATAAGGCGAAGAAAAGGAGGAAGATTGCGATGTGTGCGCGCAAAACACTTGAATTTATTATTAAAGTTTAGTCGTCGAGAGAGAGTTTCAACATTCTTATTTATATCGCGCGCAAACTCTCCGAGAAAAGATTACGAAACTTTAACGGGATTGTCAATTTTGCACGAAGAGGGAGAGAAAATTTAATTTCACCTCTTCGATAATTACGGCATGGATTAACGACGCCTTTAAATACACGTTGAGGAGAAAAATTAAATATTCTTTTTTTCCACGTCACGTCTATTTTCTTTCGCGAGACGGGGATTTGATTCGTTCGCCGGATAACAATTTTTGCAACAACGACGACGACAGCGCGCGATAATTCGTTATTCAACAAGTGGTTGCAAACGATAACGCGAAGGGTCGATGCTAGAGGGTAGTAGCTATTTTTCGATCGCGAGATGGGTCGAATAGCGGAAAAACCGGGCAAAGAATGCAAATCTTGCGCGACTCGCGCGCGTGCTCAACAAGTGGCTACTCAAATTTTCAAAGCCAACCTCGTGGTCGGACAGAGGAGGACGGTAATTGCGTTCCTGATTATCAGCAACGAAAAATTAAATAGACTGTCGTAACACGACACCTTCCTCTCTCCCGCTTTTTGCAACGTTCTGTGCCGTGGAGAACTAGGTCATCGCGAAAATATATATATATATATATATATATATATAGACAGGGAAAGAATTAACAAAAATCAGGATATTCAGCGAATTCAATAAAAAAATAATTATATAATTTGCATATATCTATATAATAAATTAATTAAATGTTAAATCATTAAATCTTTCAGATATTTTTATCAACAATGAAAAGATTCGGAAGTTAAAACCAAAATTTAAATCAATTATACAATCTGCATTATGTACGATAATTGAAACAAACATGTCACTATAAACTATTTCAATAATCACCTTTTTTATTTATATTATATCAAATTTTTAGTTTTGTCTCTATATCAAACACAATATGAAAAATAAAATTAAATAAATGAAATAAAATAACACGATGATAAAAATATAAATTAACGAACACGCTGTAAATGAATCGATTTTTAATACAGAAAATTAGCGTGCTGAGAGTCGAGGAAAAAATTATACTTATTTAATAAAAAATTTCCAATTATTGAGACAAATGTAGAATAATATGAAAAAATCCAGATAAAATTCCCTGACAATGTCCGGTTTTCCAGATTTCAGACAGGAAAAGGATAAACAAAAATGTATCAAGAGTTAGCTCCAAATTTGTTCAGGAATTCAAAGTTAACGAGAAAGCGAACAAAATCGAGATCCGTGTCTTGAATGCGGAAATTCATCTTGTCGAATGACAGACAATCGACCTTGTGCTCGTGTAGGGCAACTTCCGCGACAAATGTCACTCGCGAGATACTAATCGAAGGGACAATTGCGAGAGAGATAGATAGATACGTCGGAGAGAGAAAGCTGGGAAACCAATCGGTGACACGTGCCCGATCGGCCTCACCTATTCGGTCTATTTAGTAACGGGTGTCGAGTGCACGAGACGTGTTAACGTGTTGCGACGTTTCGAAATGTCATACACCTGTCAATCGAGCTAGCCTGATTTCCACCTGAAAGCGAACGTGATGTGCGCGCTGATAAATCGTACCTTCTTTTTCTCGCGAAATCGGATTGAGGGAAGAAATCCGTGAATCGCAAAACTCGTTTTAAAAAATCTCTTATACACGTAATAATAAATGTAAACCGACATTTATACGAGATTTTATTCTCAATCGCACCATTTCGATCGTAAAATCGTATGCAAATAAATTTTCTATAGTAAAGTGAATCATGTAAATTAGCGTGACTTCCATCGAAAAATCACTCTTCGCGCAAAATTCGCGTTGAATGATAAAAGAAATATTTCGCTGTCGGAATCGTGTTTTTCTTTGAAGAAAAATCTTTAAGGATCTTTCGCAGAGGCTCTGCATATCCTCTGGAGCCGTCTAGAAAAGAGGGATGAAAGAAGTGAGCGATCGATAGATATAGATTGGGTACAAAAAAAAACCGAAATCATCGCGCATTCTCCGAGACTATAATATATATCCGCGATAGACTTATTTGGGTCACAGGATCTGGAAAAAAATATGAGGTTGCCGAATGCGACTCACACTAATGGATTCCATCTGTTTAATATAGACGAGACGATGAATGAATTATAATTAAATCTTTCAACGCGTCTAAATTTAAATTTAAATTTTGTCACTCGCTGACAGGCTGATTGCGGGCGAAAAGACTCACCTCCGAAGGTCTGATAAAACTGCGAGAGGTAGGTGAGAATCGACAATCGATCGGGAACCGCGCAGGACGCCATATCCTCGGCATCCAGAAGGGCGGGAATCCCAAGATGCTGCTCGGCTGTTCTAAAAGCCAACTCGTTGTTTCTGTACACGTCGTCCTTGTTTAGGCCATTGAAGTCACTGTAAAAAAAAAAAAAAAAAGAAATAAAATTCGAAATCCGTTTCTCTCTTTATCCTTTATTAATCAGTATATATCAATCTTCGTTACTCCTCGTTACTTTTCCATATATCCACCCCGCGGTCACGTTTCATATTTATTCGCTTCGAAGGCCACCCGATGAAACGTCGAATGTGTGTAAAAAGGATTCCTTGAATTAATCACGCTGTCGGCATCGTTCGTGGGGGCGTGAATCGCTTTTTTCATTAAAGCACCGGTATAAATAAACCGGCACAATGCTAACCGCTGAATATGTAACTCGCAAACGACCACGTGGGTTAAGTACTCGCTCTCTTTTCCCAGGGAATATTCAAGACACACAATCGCGAAAAATTCGTCGCAATTATATCTCTCTTAAATAATGTCGACTGGCAACGAGTGCGATGTTGAATGCGAAAAAGAGAGAGAGAATCCGCGCGAGGAAATTTTAAAATAGAAAAAGAAATGGTACTTTATAAAAACAGCACTCCTGTTTCGTAATTTTTATACACCAGCTGAATATGAATAATCCGCGCGTCTCGCTCGTCATTTCAGTCCGAATCTAATGAATTAAAAAAAAGTGTTCCGAGAGACAGAAAAAAATGATGAGAAATCAAACTGCAATGCTTGTTGAGAACACGATTGCCGCAATATATATCGCCAATGTTATTTGTCGCGTGTATTGAAATCGGTGTAGCGTGTCATTGTATGCCGTACGTACAACGGAATATACCGGAAATACGTAGGCGAGTCTATCGGATTGTTGCGTCGTCGTCGTTCTCGTAGAACGTAGCGCGGTTAAATTTCCGCATGACTGAAAATGTCCCGCAAATGTATAATTTACCCTCGTATACGTTGGGCCAAAAGCGACCTGCCCCGAGATAGACGATTCATTGAAACGTACATTATTTATGAAGAAGTGGAAATGCGATGAAATTTTGATTGAGCGGAAATAATCAAACGTTTCATTATTATCCTTTTTCCGGTGGTCCATTTTTCGCCATATACATCTATGGTACATACATACATATATATATAGGATGTCCCAGAACTGGTGGAAGTTCTTAATGACAGATTCCTGGTATCGTTCGGAGACGATTTTTTCTCAACGAAAATGTCGGGACACCAATAATTTTCGAATTATAAGCAGTTGAAAATAAAGGCTTTTTCGGAAACTAAGCCTTGGAAATAAAATATTAACAGAACTACATTCTTCGGTTAATTTTAGATAGAGTATGCTTTAATAGAATTTTAATATAAGACTTGGTTATAAAGATACGTAATAACAAAGATTGGGTACATGCTAAAAATGATGGCGTCCCTCAACATTTTCAGTAAGGAAAAATCGTCTCCAAATGATACCAGGAATCTGACATTAAAAACTTTTCCACCAGAAAAGTTCCGAGATACCCTGTAAATATATTTTTCGAGATCCTCGCAAACACAAAAGTTGATAACCGAGACTAACGAGTTGTCAATGTAAATAAGCAGCAACTTGTCGAGATGAAATCGCGATATTGCCGGGACTAAATTTTCGCAGCAGATCCGAGGGATCTCTATTCAAACAGACTCAAAGGAGCTGGGGATCCTAGGATCAAGTATCCTGAAAAGAGAGCTTAAGCGTCGTCGCGAGAGCGTAACTATTAGAAAAGGTTAAAATCCGAGAATAATATACGATATCACGCTTTTTCATCACGCTGGATTTTTCTGCGATTTTTTTCTTCGCCAACCATCGATTATTCCACGCTTTAATTATAATCCGCTATAAACACCCTCCTCCTTTATATAGCGTGTCGTCGCATATATGCACGTACACTACACACGAGCACACTTTTTCGAGACTGCCTACTACGAAGTGCTCCACTTTTAGGCGAATCGATATGCATAAGCCGCATCGGTGCATATTGCTCGGCGGTTGGAGAGAAGGGTAATACTTGAAATTCTAGGTCGAAAGACGAGCACCTGTTCGACTGCTCGATTGATAGTGCGATAACAACCCGCGCGGATGTTAAATCCCCCTTGTTGCGATTTATATGTGGAGCGTGAAATCGACGCGTTCTCAACCCTCGCGCGCAAACATCATCTCGGGGAAGTTTAAGCACTGCGAAAAGACGATTGTCGAAATTCGTACCTCTATATCTCAGAGTTCACTGGATTATCCTCGTATCAACGTACGAAGAAAAAAAAATATATATCGTTTCCTCTTTCCTGACATTTCTTCCCTATCCTTTAATAATCGCGATAACGTCCAGACTCGCGCGATAAATTTTGGATCTGATAGACGACGACGGTCGTCCCGGGGACGAGGTCACGATGAGTCAGAATTCCAGCGGAGGTGCCACACCCACCGCTTTTATTCTCTCCTCCCATCCTCATCTTTCCCTCTCGTCGTCTCTATCTTTCTTTTTCCTCTCGCTATCGCGGACGCAAAAAAACCCACGCGACTACGTCTGTCTTTCGGCTTATTGGCGATATTTCATGCCATTCCAGGCGGCTAATCGTCGTATATCATCGCGAGCAAGCAAGAAACTTCCTTCGTGAAATCCCCGTTCTTTCTTATGGAGAACGGGATCTAACATGGGGATGAAACATCCGAGTCTCTTCTGATGGAAGATATGGAGAAGAGCAACGCAGTTGTGTAAATATTGCGGTTTTCGCCGATTGGGGAAAAAAAATTTTTACCACAATTTTCAGATTTTCGAACACCAGAAATTCATTCATTTTTTGTCCATATAATGATATAAATCATATTTTTGTCAATAATGAAAAGATTCGGAAATTTAAATCAATTATACAATCTGCATTATGTACGACAATCGAAACAAACACTATAAACTATTTCAATAATCAGCTTTTTTTTTATTTATATTATATCAAATTTTTTAGTTTTGTCTATCAAACACATTGAAATAAAATAACACAACAATGAAAATATAAATTAACGAACACGCTGTAGATGAATCGATTTAAAAATTTTTGATTTCAAATTATTGAGACAAATGTAGAATAATGTGAAAAAATCCAGATAAATAGTAAATAAATTTCCCGACTTCTCCCTAACAATTCCAGATTTATAAAATTCCCTGACAATGCCCGGTTTTCCAGATTTCCTTGACCGCTAGACACCCTGAAGAAGATGCCGATAAATTTTCTGTCACGAATTAATGCGACCCCATGAATTTCGTTAAAGGCGCAAAAAAGGTCTGCCCTTTATTGCCGCGCGATTCTCTTCTTCTCCTTAGAGAGAACACACCTGTCGGTTTCACTTTCACTCGTCCCAGAGAGATATCCCCAAGATATTCTCACGTTGATGATACTCTCTTCCGGGGTACTCCATTACGGCTCTTCTGCTTCGATCATTCGACGACAAAGGTCGCAAGTCGACCGACTGTAATTTTCAATCATGCACGCAACTACTTTAATAAAGCGTCATTTGATTCAAGACGCGTGTTATTACGCAGGCATCGAGCGCGAAATCTTGGTCGAAAATTAAATTAACAGGGTGTCTAGTCAAATTTGAAAATAAAATTTTAGAACATTTCAAGAAAATTTGCACAATTTTCCAAAATTATTATAAAGATGTACAAAGAATTGAAACAAAAATTTTTGTTATCAAGTCGATATAATAAAATGCATGTTAATGAAAATTAATATATGCATTACAAATATTTGATGCTTTTATATTATATTATATTATATTTGAACCCTTAAAATCTCTATACAGAAACTTTTCTTACAATTTACTCTGAAAATCATGGTAATCATAGAACAATATGATATTGGAAGAACTTTATCAGAGTTTCTCTAATTAAGTTTACAAGAAGAAATATTAATATCTACCACAATAAAATATTAATATTTTTATTATGATATTTAATCAGAGAAACTCGTAAAATTCCATTTCATAATTACACTGAGAAAAAATAATGTTAATATGACTAAATGCATTTAATTCATGGAATTTTTTAAATTGAAATTTTTTAATGTTTAAGTCAAATACACTTCAGTATTGTTAGCTAAGTCACATAATTTGAAGCATAATATTTTTTCATATTGACAAATATTTGTTTCACAGCCGCATTTAATTAAATTTAAAAAATTTTTCTGATTGAATATTATTTTTTTCTCAGTGTACCATGATTTTCAGAGTAAATTCTACGAAAAAATGTTCTCCGTGTATAAACAACTTATGCGCAACACATTTTTAGCTTCTAAATAAAAAAATATATTGTATTATTTATGGAGATTAAATATTTCTTACTCGAATAGTCTCAGCTGACTGTTAGCTGAATATTTAGAAGCAACGAAAAAAAAATCAATAAAAAATTCAAATATATTTCTAGGATTTTTAATGGAGGAACAAAATATTCTGAAACATTTTAAGAATTTTAAGGACATTAGACACCCTGATTAACTCTGTTTGCTCTGCCAGAGAAAGAGAGATAAAGAGACAGAAAATTTCGTTTCAAGCGCGAAAAAAAAACGGAAGTAGTAAAGGAAAATTTCTCGTCGTTTTACTGCCTCCTCCGTTCGAGTAGATTTTTGTCGGACCAGTCGGGAACAATAAAAGGAGGAGAAATGAAGAATAGCCTCGCTATACGACGCCTTCCGTCCGCGATAAAAAGCGAATTCCCTTCGTCGTGAGACCTTGAGTCTTAAAGCGCCGATTCTGAAGGATATTTTCGCATATTCAGATATCCGTAATGGAATATCTTTTTCTTACGAGAACCGTCTTTTGCTTTCGAAATACTTTTTGAAAGGTGCAAATTTGCATTTTATCCTTTTAAATAACTTTAGTTTTATCAAGGGAACAATTCTCCGTTCAATTACAGATATCGAAATAAAGATAAAGACGTACGTTTTCGTTACCTCAAACCATGAAAAAGAAAAAAAAAATGTAATTTCTACCTTTCTAATTTTCCCAGATACAATCGAGTGAGAGTATAAGATAGAGTCGATAGAAAGCCGGGACAAAGAAAACTTTTTTAAAATAAAAAGTAAAGGCGTAACTCTCTTCTCTGCACGAGCAAGAGCACGTTTCTCTCAAGAAACGTCATTCTATAATAGAACATTTTCATTTGCGGTAAATTCGACGGGCAACGATCCAAGCCGCAAAACATCAACTCTTCAGTTTCAACGTTTCGCCTCGTAAAATTATTGAAATATTAATCGCGCGCGCACGATTCTCTCACGTGCTATTTCCCTTTCAAAGATTTTCTATATAAATGAACATCCACGATGAATTTTTCCGACAAATATTCCGCTCGCGTTGTTTATTCGCGTCAACGTGCCGAACGAATGCAATAATTATCAGATGTTTTCGATCCATCAGAGGGATGTTTATTTGAACACCCGCCAAGAAAAGCCGAGATGTGTGTGTCGTTAGTCTTCATGAATAATTGAAGACAAATAAATCTCCGGCGATGTTGTTCGTCTTTTTATTCCTGGTTTATCGATTATTCACCGAAGAAAAAAAACCGAACATGTACATGCTGGACAGAAAAAAAGGCGAACGCGTTCGTTAATTCTCGAATATTAAAAAGTTGGACGGACTCTCTCGCGACTTGTTATTTGTTAAAATTGAGACTGAAATAAATATTATTCGAAAAATGAAGAAATGCAACTCTCGACGACGTCGTCTCTCTTTGCCAGAGATTAAGGAAAATGGATTCTGCTCCGGGATAAATTGGGGCGCGTTACGTAATATGGAATCAGATGAAAATATATGATTGTCGGCATTTTAATTTGAAGAAAAACAAAGTTCGAGGGCGATTTAAATAGGTGGACGAGAAAGAGGAAAATCTTGAAATGAGGGATGGCACAAGTGCCGCCTGGCCTCTCATATTGCATAACGCGACACAATTCCGGTTGCGTTCCGTTATCACCTATAAAATACCGACGCACATCTACTCCTGTGTGATGGGTGCAGGCTGCTGTTGCTTTATCGATCGTCAATTCACTGAACTTCTATTTTTAGAAGGACCTTCCTTCGTCGCCGAGCGACGGCGACACGAAATCCTGGGATTACTATGAAGAGGACAATCCATCGGAGATGCCTCGGAATTTCTGGATCTTTTGCATCTCTTTGAGAGATCCTCAGAGATTCCCAAATATTTTAATCATTTTCCTTCGCAAAAATATATACTGACGCGTATATTTAATATCCTTCAACACTTGGATTTCTCGAATATATATGTTTGATCTCTAAATATTCCGTTTTATTTTTTTTTTTTAATGTACCAAAATAATACGCAACCCTCGAATCTTCTCGGGCACGAGTAATCGAGACAAACCGCGTAATTAGAGACGAAGCACACATAACCGAGTGGAAACGATGAGACTCGTGTACGTGGACTCGGCTTCTCTATTACTTAATTTACGAGACAATCGACTTTAACGAGGACAATTTGGAGCCGCGCCAGGAATCGAGGGGATACGAAAAGTCGCGCTTTTAAGAGCGATTCTCGCAATCCGGTCATATACGCGCGTTTAATTCCACATTGCATATTTTTCGGGGGTGTCCAGCAGACTCAATGAAAAAAATTCCCTGATTTTTTAGCATTATTTTTTCTAAATATATATCTATATGATAAATCAATTCATGAAATTCTCGAGATATTTTTGTCAGCAATGAAAAGATTCGGAAGTTGAAACCAAAATTTAAATCAATTATACATTCTGCATTGTATACGATAATCGAAGCAAACATGTCGCTATATAAACTATTCAAATAATCGCACCTTGTTTATTTATATTACATAAAATGTTTTAGTTTGGTCTCTATCCAACATATTAAAATAAAATAACACGACGATGAAATTATAAATTCACGAACACGCTGTAGATGAATCGATTTTTCACAACACAGAAAATTAGCGTGCTGGGAGTCAAGGAAAGATTTATATTTATTTAATAAAAAAATGTCCAATTATTGAGACAAATGTAGAATATGAAAAAAATCCAGATAAATAGTAAAATTTGACAATTCCAGATTTCTAAAGTTCCCTGACGGTTTTTCCTGACCGCTAGACACCCTGTTTAAGAGCGCGTTTAATTCCACATTACGTACTTTTCGTCCGGAACGAAATCGTGCGGAAAAACGAGAGGATTTCGCATCATTATCCGGTGTAATATCCCTCACCGTGTTACGACGGCGATTACACACTCGCTTAGATATACTTACATGAGATCCGGCCGAAAGTGATGAATCATGGCGCAGAAGGCTAGTCCGTCTCTCCAGGAGGTGGTCATGTTTTGCACGTTTACACCCGGATAACCGTCGGTTATACGCCGGCACCAAAGCTCCAAGGCCTTCGTACCTCGTCTCTCGCCCATCTCGCTCGCTTCTTCCTCTTTCGGACACTTGGCAAGATCACGAACACCTGTTTCTCGCAACCTGCCCGATGTACCCTTTATATCGCGTCTCCTCGATTAATTGGACTTCTGAAAAAGAAAGGCGAAAATTTCAATGCGCGATATTATTCATATTAGCGACGTGGACATAATATCAAAATTGATTTTTCTTAATATGTCAAAATGTGTGTATATTCAGCAGAAAGTTAAATAGACCCGTATTTTCCCTCGGTATTATATCCCCCGAGAAAATAGACGAAATGTGTCACGGTTGTTCTCGCGCGGACAATGTCAAAAGAGAGAGGGAGGGAAAACATAGACAAAAAAACAAGAGAGAAAAAAGCGAAGAGTGTCACCGCAAATCGGCGGCGCTCTCGGGATGATCGAGTGTGTTTTGTAACGGGCTGCGCATAACGCGGCGCTCTCGAGTAAATCGCGTTGACCGTCTCGGTTGATGACCAGAATGATATTTCGCGCAACGTGAAAGCCGGGAGGCTGCGAAGAGCTTCGGGTCAACCACGAAGCGCGGCTTCTAAACTCGCTATATGATATTCATATTGTCCCTTTTCTTCCTCGAATCTCCACCTTTTCCTTTCCATCATCATTATTCTACGCAGCATCATTATTATTCCACACGCTTACTCTCTCGAGAAATCCGCGAACCGAGTCGCGGAATCGATGAAGGAATATAGGTATTTTCGCGGGTATATTTCGATATAGAAATGGAATGATTCGGGATTCATACGTACGATTGTGGATGAAAGAGTGTCGAGGAATACGGTATGAAATATTTATCCGCGACGTTTCTCGCGCGCGGCTTCGAATCGATCAATTTGACGAGCAATTTTTCGCGAATAAACGAACAGAGGTGATGGCACGCGCGGCCAATTTGGTACGAAAAGCCGGCTCTATTTTTCGCCTTTTCCTTTTCCCGCGAATTTCTGATGAACGAGAAACAGGTCAGATACGGCTTCTGCGAAATTCATCTCGATCCAGAGATTTATATAACCGCGTGAAAATATTGTTTTCTTCAAATGCATCTTTACGCGATGCTTTTCGGAATGTCCTCTCGAGTTAAGAAGATATTCTTAATCTCTTTTTGCAACTTCGATTCCGCAACAAATAAATATATTATAAAAATCACTAAAATAAAATTATTTAAATTTATAAGTTTATCAATTAAAAAACAATTCAATTATATAATATGTCTAAAATTTAAATAAATAATAAATGTCTATTTGTAAGATTGTTTTTGTTTTCAAAACTATATAATAATTTCAAATAATACATTGAGAAAGAAACATCCTATTAGGTATACATTCTTGCATGTCAAGAATAGATACTTAGAGAATTTTCTTCATCAATTAAGAGAGGCGCTTATTTTAATAGAAGATATTAATATATAAAAGATAAGTGGCATGTACTTGAGATAAGAATACAATTTTTTCGGTGATATATATAAATGATTCTTTTTCTATCTCAAAATACGTAAAATGCGAAAGTGGATCAACGACACGTCTAAGCGAGATCACGTCAAGATGCAATATAAAGTTGCAATATTACGCGTGATATCGCGCGAACGCAAAAAAGTGGAACGGATAAAGCAGTTAACGGGAAAGTGCCTGATCGCGCTCCCGCGTTTAGTCTAATCCAGACCGGTTTTCTACTAAACGCAGCCTCTGGTCCGTAAACAAGACTCGCCAAACTATCCCACGGGTTTCCGTCGCGATATAAAACCACGCGTCAGCTTCCAGTTTTTATATTCGCGGCGCGAAAACCGCCTGCGGGCATTCCAATTCTACGCGTGTATTTATTTACAATTTTTATTGTCACACCTTTTTTCACTCTTCACGAACAAAACTACACACACGTTGGCCGCTTCTTTTTGTCTCGTCTTCGCGACACACTTGTCGGCTTTCACCGACGAACAAAAATCATCGCGTTTTTATAATCGAGGAAAAAAGGGAGTCAAGTCACGTTTCACGCCGTCGCGTTTTTCCGTTTTCGAGGAGAGAAAGAAAAAAAAAGATTGATGCGCTCTTTATGAAGCGAGGAGGTTTTATATGCGAGACTCGCGATAACAATTAAATAGTTGGAGGAGGCTTTCGAAGTTTCCGTCGCGCTTCCCGGCACATCGGCGTGTCCTCCTAGCTTAGGAGTCGTCAAGTTCTGCGGTTACAACGGTATCCCCGGCAACGTTGGGTATACCGTGATTAATGATCCTGCCGAGAGCGGGAGCCCGCGTGAGTGAAACGTAGGTGCGCAGAAAATAAGTAAAAGTTACACGCGGCAAAGTGGTCGGCCTTGTTCACCGTTTGCCAACAACAAGCGCGAGGTTGTAAGGCCGTTTTACAGGTGAGAGACACCCGTGAGAGAGAGAGACAATGTTTTTTTTTTTTTTCGAGCGAGAACGAGCGAATGAATCCCATTGTCTTTTCGCGGGTCTAAGACGCGAGTCGAGGAGCCTTCTTTCCAGAGGAAAACAGCAACAACGGTTTCGTTTTATGGTATAATAATGCGCGCGACAGAAATTGATTTAGCGGCAATTAACATCTTCAGCTGCATTTTTCTCGAGCCACAATTATCGTTAACGTCGACCGTAAAATCAGGTGAGAACCGGAGCGGAGAATTATCTACGAGCCATTCTAGGAAAATGAGAATGAGAATCAGCGAAAACAATCAGAGTGAAAGTATAAAAAAAACGCAATGGATAAAAAGTGAAAATAGCTATTCAGCGAACGTTAATATAAATCGCGCTCGACTTCGATCGCGAAACCGAGTAAACACTCGATCAGGTAATATCCTTGCGCAATTTCGAAAGATGATATCTACTATGTACGGTCACGGCAAGAGAAGAGAGAATATCGAACGTGCCCGCGAGGAAGCTGTGTTCCAAAGATACCGAGGCTCCAGGTCTGTAAAGTTTTTACGACATTGATATGCGCATTCGATTGTCTACTTCGTAAACAAAATTAGAAATAAAAAGAAATGAATTTTATCATAAGCCTACATTTGACCAAAAATAATCGTCTTTCCTTCGTCCACCTTGCAAAGAAAAATCAAAAATAAAAAAGTCAACAATTAATTTTATTATCACAGTGTCCAGACTCGATGAAAAAAATTCGCTTACTTTTTCAAATTTTCCAAAACCAGAAATTCATTTTTTCCCTGACTTTTTAGTATTATTTTGTCCAAATATATAATTTGCATGATAAATCAATGAAATGTTAAATCATGAAATCCTTGAGATATTTTTGTCAAGAATAAAAAGGTTCGGAAGTAACAACAAAAATTTTAATCAACTATACAATCTGCATTATGTACGATGTTCACTATAAAGTATTTCAATAATCACCTTTTTATTTATATTGTATCAATTTTTTTTAGTTTTGTCTCTATCAAACACATTGAAAGAAAATAACACGACGATGAAAATATAAATTAACGAATCGATTTGTAACAACACAGAAAATTAGCGTACTGGGAGTCAAGAAAAAGTTCAGATTTATTTAATAAAAAGTTTCAAATTATTGAGACAAATGTAGAATAATGTGAAAAAATCCAGATAAAATTTTCTGACTTTTCACTGACAATTCCAGATTTATAAAATTCCCTGACGGCTAGACACCCTGATTATAAGCATCCCCAAGTGCGATTATTGAAAAATTATAAATAGAGATGCATAATAAAATTTATTCAAATTTCTTTTTCATTTTGAATTCTTTTTGTATGGATGGACAAAAACACACAATTTTGCAAAGATTCGGGATGGCAAGTTTACACAGACCTCGCCGAGTCGTTTCCAAAGACATCGACTGCCTTTGGCCGCGGCAAAAGTGAAGGTGCATCTAATGTGACCCCGCAGGCGAGCCTCGAGTGAGACAGAAAGAGAGAGAAGGAGGTCTCATGAAAGATTCATGCCGACGAGGAAGACGGCCCGCGGCGTTGCGAGACACCTGCGGGAAACCTCTCCGCAGCGCCGCACGGCGAGTTTCACGAGGCGATTAGGACGTCCCCGATATTTTTACAGTTAGCCGCGTCCTAGAATCGAGGAAACGCGGCGACGACAACCGGCGGGGTCACTTCCGACCCGATGCAAGCCGATAACACCCTACGTGCCTCGATCGAGGAACACGTAACACGGCGCGCGAAATCCTGGTCTAAAAATAGCTTCGAATCATCATAAACTCGGACACGCGAGAGATTTGTTCTTTTCCCTCGAGAAGCTGGAGATGGTGGTGGTGGTAGTAGTCTTCCTCGAGAGAGGAGAATATAATAAACGACTGCTTCTTAATTCGCTCTACTTCTCGGACGTCGTTATGAGAAAATCTCTTGTATATAAAGGGACGAATCTTTCCGGCGTTCCTCGAGTGTCTGACATTGCCGAGTCTTGTCCGCGGTTCTCCGCAAACCGCGCAACGAAACAGAGAGAGAAAGAGAGAGCTCGGAAAGCTTACGTTTCAATAGTCACTCCGCCGCATTGCAGTCTCGAGTGACACTTGACGTTTCAGGTGACTTGACACGAAAGCGCGCGCGCAAAAGCATTCGCGGAACTAGGGCCTGCGGAAGAAAATCTTCAGACACACACTGTTTACGTACTGATTTTCTGCTCCCGAGAATTGTCGACTCTCTCTCTCTTTCGCGTACTCTATGGAAATATTTGTAAAAATTATTAGCGATTCTTTTTTCATCGAAAGAGTCGCGACCTAGATAAAACGTTAAACGCGGCTCATATATGCATATGGTTAATTTATCGAGAAAGCGAAACGTTTAAGCATATAGTTAAGTGGAAGCATTTATTTATGTTTACGCGTTAATATTTTAACGTGCTCGTGATTATCCCACGGACGCGGTCCTCATCCTTTAACGCGCCATGAGTCATAAGATTTTGGAACTCCTTGACTGGGATCTTTCAGCCACCTCCGTCGAACGTCCTTTACGTTGTTACGCGACTGGAAAAGCCAATATATTTGATCTATTTTCCAAATAAAAAAAAATCCGCCAGTCCAGTCGTATGTAACATACATTTCCAGAAATGGGATTATCTATAAGAGTTGCTGTGTTATGAATACACAGAGAAAATTTTCTCTCTATTTGAAAATTGTAACACTGTGGAAAGAATTTTATGAATCTTCTCTCATTAATAGTTTTACCATAATACAATATTAAAAACTACCATTTTAGGCATAGTTCGAATAATTTTACATTAATATTAACATTCATTCGACGGTCTGAATTCAATAATTCGCACACGAGTCACATTGTCGTCCGTTCGCGATGTTGAAATTCTGCGCGGGCCTCGTCGGCGACCTCCTTCCGACCTTCTCTAACATCTTTGCCATCTGTTTGACTGCGATTTGGAAAGGCAATCGTCCCCGAAAACTTTCTTAGCATTTCAAAAGTTTCCAGCGGATCTTGTCCATGCTTCACGCAAAACTTTATCGCATAGCGTTGCTCTATCGTTCTCTCCATCACAAGTTCGACGCGACCACTAAGCAGAGGTTCACAGAATAAGCCGCCCTAACCCTCCAAGCGCATGGAAACAATTGAGCGACCTATGGAAAGCTAAGGGTACCCCCCTTCCCCCAACCGGTCCCATCGCTCTGCGATGTATAGTCGCGTCACAAAAAAATGCGACGCATTACTTTCCGGACAAACCCTGTATATGCATATGGTTAATTATCGAGAATCCAGTGCGAAACGTTTAAGCATATAGTTAAGTGGAAGCACGTATCGTTATGTTTACGCGTTAATTTTAACGTGCTCGTGATTAATCCCACGGACGCGGTCCTCATCCTCGGGAAAAGCGCCAGGGGAGTCGGAGACTATTAGAAGGAATTGCACGAGAGAGAAGAGACTTTCCACATCTGCCGCCACCTCCTTGTCGTTAACGTCCATTTACGTTGAATTACGCGACTGGAAATCCAATATATATATCAATCTATTTGATCTAAAACGCTTTAAAAAAAATAAACGATCATCGACCAGTCCAGTCGTATGTAACATAATTTTCCAGAATAAAGCATGAAGAATACATATATTTGACGTTTCTGTGTTATGAATACACAGAGAAAATTTTCTCTTAAAATTTATCCTGAAAATTGTGGGACAATGTGAAAGAATTTTATATAATTTGCATAATAATCAATTAAAAGAATGTTAACAATGAAAGATTCGGAAAAAAACAAAATTTAAATCAATTATACAATCTGCATCATGCACGGTAATCGAAACAACATGTTACTATAAACTATTTCAATAATCATCTTTATTATTTATATTAAGAGTCAAGGAAAGGTTTATAAATGTATTTAATAAAAAATTTCCAATTATTGAGACAAATGTAGAATAATGTGAAAAATCCAGATAGTAAAATTTCCTGACTTTTCCCTGACATACAATGCCCGGTTTTCCAGATTTCCCCTGACCGCTAGACACCTTGAGAGTTCGGGAAAATAATCGATCGAAAAGAAATGCGCTTTTTATTTTCTCCGGCGCGCGAGAGAACGTTTCATCAACGAGCCTTAATCAAGGTCGGCGGATGAAGACCGCGGTTAAAACCCGCCCTCGTAAAGCTGAGTAATGCGCGATCGTTAGATTTAAAACGATATGAAAACAACGTAGCATGACAACGTATAACGTTAACGATGGCGCGCGCATATATATACCGTAAAATACCGAAGCAACTTTACGACGAGCGTGCTTTTATGAAAGCGTAACGCGCTCGTTTACTATTTCTCACGCGAGATCATCTCTTTTTTTTCTCGCTCTTTCCTCCGGATTGTACAGAAGAAAATGGACCTTGATTCTGTCAAATGCTTCACGCTCCATTGTTCGCCAAGATTACATATACTTTCCTCCTCTCGTCGTATATATACGAAAGAAAAGAGATCTCATGTACTTTCTCGCGTACGCCAAAAGATCGAAAGGCTGCAAGGCTGGATTCGCCAGAGAGAAAGAGGGTAACCTTGCGACTCGGCCAAGGTGTACTCGCCGAAAAGAGCGAAGGAGAAAGAGAGACGGAGGGACCCGAAATGATTGCGAGGGGCAATCGAGCACGTCGGTGGGAACGATCTTTACCTTCCAGGAAGGTAATTCAAGTTAGCGGGTAGGTGGTCACGCGATTGTGCGTCTTACACGTGGGAGGAGAACTCTCAAAGAGTACCGATCCTTCGCGTCGGCCCGGAGTTAAAGACTACCTGTCCGAAAGCGACGTTGTCGAGTCTCCTTGAGTCGGGCTTGCTTGAAGAGCCGTTTTTTATTCTCCTCTAGAAAGATCTATCCTCGTGGTTCCAATGTTTCTCTCCCCAAAAGATCGACAAAACAGAGTGTTGTGTGTGGTATTAAAAAATTGCATTAAAAAATATTATCAAAAGTATTAAGTCACACTTTGGATTGTGTGGTATTGCCCGATAAACAATATTATCAAAAAGTATTAAGTTATAGAGTTTGGATTATTGACTATAATGGTCGAGATTCTGTTTGATAAAAACAACTGATACATAGGCTTTGTTCTTTTCAGCTGAACTAATTCCACTTCGGAGGTTCAGAGCTTATTTCTTTCCTTTTAAAATTCTGAACTAGTGCAGCTAGTTGAACCGACAAGAACTAAAAAGATCTATAACACGCTGTATGAATAAGGAACACATTTGTGTGAATGACACCAGCCAAAATCGCAGCAGGGTTCGAGCTCTAACTCGAAGATCTCTATTATCTCTTGTCCGTAAAAGGGACGATTTATCAACGAACGCTTTTAGAAGTGGTGACTCACGCGGTTTCACGCAGATACGCAAACCTGTCCGTCGCAGAGACGGTAAACCGCAGGGTGCCCTTCGGGGCTGGTCTTTTATCTCTCGTTTTCACCGAGGCTGGCCGGGATTTCCTCGTCCTTTTGCTCGCGCAAACGAGCCTTAGACGGGTTTTTAGCCGGCGTGACTCACCATTTCTTCTTCTTCTTCTTCTACTTCTTTTACTACGCTCCGATGCGCGTCCAACGAGATTCGACCGGTCACCGTGAAAAAGCCTCGATAAAACGCCAGGATTGACCCTGCACGAGGAGGAGGAAGTGTACTTAACCCTACGTTTCTTTGCACAAGCGCGCTTTCTTAACCCGCCCCATCAGGGTTCTCCCTAGATATAAACGGCGTCTTCTCGTTACGTTAAAAAAGATTTCCCTCGCTTCATTGAAGATCGTAAGTTGTCTTCCCTTTTTGCCGCTGCTTCTTGAAATAGCGAGACTCGAGTCTTATCTGATGTCGAAAGTCAAAATAGATGAGACTTTATGTAAAATGCCGCTCTATCTCAAAATTTGCAAAATCATTTCTCTGAGAAAGGATAAATAAATCCGCGGTCTTGTTGAAATATATAGCAATCTATCTATAAGACATTTTATAACAAGAAGACGCTATATCTCTGTATCGATAGAACACATTTGGACAGATATATTTTGTAAAAAATTGTGTCTGTTTGAGAAAAATATTGCGACATTTTTCGCAATATTTCTCATCTCTAAATTACGTCGATGTGAAGAAAAGGGGAAGATTGTCGCATCTTTTTCACGGGATTTATCTCGCGAGCGCCCAGATGGATGTCTCATCTCGCTCGTTTATTCGTCGCGAGGACGGCGACCTCGTTTGTTTAACGCCCGGGTAATCTTTTAGCCGTAAAAACGAGTGTGTACATATAAACACACTCCTTGACATAGTACACACGTATGAATATGTATGGTACATCGTGTAATGGAACTGATACGCGCGCAGTTGGCCGTATCTCTGCTCGATAAGATTTATTTCTCCGGAAAACCGATTACGCGCTTCGGAGTGGCTGCTAATGGATTTATCGATGAGGAAAATTTTGCCAAAGGAATACTAGAAAAAGAGACAATACGGAAATTTGTCTTTCTAGGAACAACGCGAAGAAGCGAGGCAGCATCGTCGAATAGGCGAACAAAAAAAGATGCTAACGAGCATCGTAAAAGTGCGCGCCTATGTAGACGAAAAAAAAAGAAATGGATAAAGGAACCGGTATATTTGGTGGTTCTCTCCAAACTCGTATATACATATGTATATACGTACACGAACGCAAGGTCGCGCGCGAGCATCACGAATACACGAAAGCACGAAACAATATTTCGGCGGCGCACGTCTCTCTATCTTTTTGTTCCTCGTTCCCTCGCGTGCATCTATATACACGCACGCACACAAGCGTGAACGCGAGGATACCGTGGGAACGAGCCCCGGCAGAACAGGTAGTAAGACAGCCGCGTCTCTTCCAACTTGTGTTCTCCACCAGAGTGCATCCGCGCGTGTATGTGTGCGTGTGAATAGTATCGACTTTCATTGAATTTTATTCACATCTCACTTCTGTATGTATGCAATAAATTAAATATTTCAAATTCCCGTCTGCCCTTTAACGTACAATACTTTTGTTTGTTTACGCACACATTTTTCATATACATACATACGCGTCTGTCCTTTAACGAGAAAGGAGAAAAATGCTTTTTCGAAACGACGTATATCGAAAAATGTGTAAACAAACGAACGGCAAAGTCGGCAAAAAATCGTTTCGCTCGACTTGGTTGCGAAATGAATAAAATTAGCGCATCGGGGGAAAAAGTATATCAAACCGATTACATATTAATTTAATGCCAATCTCTCTCTCTCTCTCTCTCTCTCCCTTCCTTCTCGCCGCTCAACGAAAGTTACGCATTCGCGAGGAGATCCGTTACCTTACGTCACTGCGCGCAACCTGCTCGCTCTCCGCTCCTTTCTTCTTCGATCCCTGCTGCGCGTTGTCCACGACCGTGTCGCCGTTACGCCATTAGGCTCGCACCAGCGTGTATCTTCGACCACCAGCTGAATATGAAAATTGACAGCCGCGCGAACCGCGTGTGCACACTTTACTCGAGTGGTCGCGCACGCGTATACCTAGACGCACTACGAAACAGACGACGTTCCCTAACCTCAACCTCGCGATTGCGCGATCACGATAAGATATATATATATATTTATATATTATATATATATATATATATATCCCGTTCTCGTCCGGGTTCCTGTATTCGAGCGCGAATAAATCGTCACACCCTCGGAAGCGACCTTCTCGTCGATCGAGCGCAAGATTAGCGATTTATTAGGTTGTACTCGCGGCACGTTTGACATACGACGTTACGGCGCGCGCGCGGTGCTGCGACTGAGACGCCGCGCGCGGCGTGCTCGGTTTTACTCGGCCGCCTTGCGTCAGCTGTCCTTGTCGCGCGCGCCTCGACTCGCTCTCACTCTCGCTCACATCGGTCGCGGCAAAGTGCCCTGCCCGTTCCCGAGACGGGTGCTGGAATAGGCGCGAGAGATATGCTCGAGACATGCTCGTTTCGCTCGACTAGTAGCTCTATCAATGTGTTATTAAAGATAAATAGCCTATGTTAATCGAGAGATGCTGCTTCAAATAGATTCGCGTCTTTCTTGAAGCCGCATTATAAGCGAGCGAATGTCTATCCGAGTGCGAGAAAGTATTAATTTTATTTATTTTTGTGTACAAAGAAAATTTTTTGTTATCAATTGAATGACGTAATTAATTAAATATATTATATCACCTCTGAAATTTGCTCGTTCGATCTAATTTGGAATACGCGAAGAAAGTATTAATTTTTATTTGTTTTATTAAATTTTTGTGTACAAAAAATTTTTTGTTATCCAATTAAATGACGTAATTAATTGACTATTATATCAACTAAAATTTGCTCGTTCGATCTAATTTGAAATACGAAGTGAAATAGAAAGTATTTTATTCGTTTCATTAAATTTTTGTGTACAAAGAATTTTTATGTTATTAATCGAATAACAAAATTAATTGAATATATTATATTATCAACTGAAATTTGCTCATTCGACCTATCTAATTTGGAACACATTTGAGAAAGTATTAATTTTATTCATTTTTTAATTTTTATGTGCAAAGAATTTTTTAAATGTTATCAATTGAATGACGAAATTAATTGAATATATTATCAACTGGAAATTGCTCATTCGACTTATCTAATTTGGAACACGTTTGAGAAAGTATTAATTTTATTCATTTTTTAATTTTTATGTGCAAAGATTTTTTAAATGTTATCAACTCAATGACGAAATTAATTGAATATATTATCAACTGGAAATTGCTCATTTGACTTATCTAATTTGGAACACGTTTGAGAAAGTATTAATTTTATTCATTTCTTAATTTTTATGTGCAAAGATTTTTTAAATGTTATCAACTCAATGACGAAATTAATTGAATATATTATCAACTAAAATTTGCTGGATCGACCTATCTAATTTGATTTTGATTTTATGAATTTTCCGCTCACCGTTGAATATTTAAATCGAAACTTTCCGAGTATATTGATATCGCGGAATCTCAATTCTCGGAAATATTTGATTATCGGTGAATTGGAAACCTCGCGCATCTTCGCGTAATCTATATCTATCTACCGGTGTCCGATGCACGATGAATACTCGTATTTCGCTTGTTATCTTACGCAAAGACGCGACGAATATATATGTGTACGCGAATATACATATTTATTGCCTACTATACCTTTCTCATATAAATGGCGTAACACTTACGATGTGTAGCACAATGCTCCACTTCTCTCTTATACATAAAAATGACGTTATAGCTTAATGTTGCGAATTTTTGACCTGCCTTTGAAACAGAGTTTTTTCAGCTGCTCCGGTCAGATTTCCACATCGGAGGCGCTTTTGTATTCGCGTAAACTGGCAGAAACTTGTTACGGTGTCGACCAGGTGCTGCGAATGTATAGCGGCGCGCTTTTACATGCGAAAATAGAAAGAGAAAAAAAACGATGGGGGTCCTTTTTACACAAAAAGCACGAAAAGTTCCGACAGGCGCGAAACCAATTTTCAGGACCGAGGGTTTATTGTATTCAAATCACCAGCATCGATATACATTTGTAGTCGAGCATATAGCGTGGACACTTAATCTGGTTCCTACGATCTTGACCGCAATCAAGATTCACCTCGCGTGATACCTCGTTATCGCGATGTCAAGCGTGGGTCGAACTAGTCGTTGTAAGAATTGCTTAATAAGAATTCCGTGTTATCGATCGCATGCGGATCGGGGTCAATTTTAACAGATTCCTCCGCGCTCCAAATAATCGCGCGCGATCAGCTGATGCGTTTGACAGTTGCGTTCCGTCAGAGATGCGGTCGAAGGGAAAAAGTTATCCTCGCGTTATATTCTCGGATTAAGTGTCGGCTCCGAAATATCACCGCAATGACCTCGCAAGGCTCCGATTCGCCGGCAGAAATCGTTCGGTATATCCTTCGGAACCATCGTGTCACCTTCCGCGCATATAAGGTGGCGAACGATATATCACGACCTTCGTCGAGCGAATACACTTGAAATTCGCACGAGCGAATCGGAGCTGCTAAATCAACCTAAGAGACCTTCCCAGCCAGGTGCTGGGATCGATAAAAGTGACCCTACGTCGTTCTAATTCCCAGCTACCTCTGGCACTCCGCTGAGATTCTCAACGATTTCTTGGGTTCTCGCCATCCTCGGAAGCGATTAACCTTGTCGCGCATCGAGGAGCGAACTAGATCGGATTTTCGATCCTAATACTGCTGACTAACTCTTTTCGCACAGAGAATTTTTTTCATGAGATAATCGTAATCGGCCTCCATGAGCGTCCGCAGAGATTTTTTCCAGGGAGGGACAAGATTAAATTTTTTCTGTTTCTTATTATTTTATTCTTTCTTAATTTTTTTAATTGTATAATATTATATAATATTATATAATATTAAATAAAACTGCAAACAAATTCCAGTGTTTATTTACAAGAAGAGCGAATGCTTAATTTTTTTACTGATTTTTGGGGGGAAGAGACAAATGCCTCCCTTTTGTCCCTCCTTGCAAATGCCCATGTCGGCAGCGTATGTTAAGAGAGAAACCGAATCGAAACGAGGTCAATTAGCTCCTTGGACAAGGTTAACGTGAAAACGTCGTTACCCGGAAATCCAGCGTGATTTATTCCGCCGCGAATAGAGTATGTCTTTCGCGACGATAAACCGTGCGTTGTGTTTGTCGCACGCGAGACAGAAGGAAAGCGACCGCGATCGGATACACGACCCGCGCAAAGTGGTTTTTAAAACTCTTTCACCGCTAAAGTGGAAAAACGACGGTGGAGAAACGAAGGAGGGACGAGAGATCGCCGTGTGTTTTCTTGGGAAAATATAAGAGAGACTCTATGTCATGCATCGCGCCCCAGATTTGATACTTTGCATAGAAATTTTCCAAGATCTTTCGTCGCCGACACAGCATTTCGATTAAAATGTCCAACATTGTCTCGAATAAATATTTCGCATTATTACGATATCGCAATTAGGAAGTCTATTTTGATTCTATACACGGTTTTCAATCTCGGAACAGAATCGAAACAGAAATAGATGCAATTTTTTTTCGCAATTTTTTCCGTTTAGATTAGATTAAGATAAAATTGATATACTTTTATGGGAAAATCAGATAAGAAATCCCATTTTTTATATATCATCTATTAAATAAAATCTCAATAAAATAAAAAATAAAAGTAGATTTGTTTCTTTGTTATCGATTTTCTCTCGCATTTCCGCCACGGATTAAAAGATATAAAGAATGGCTATTAATCGTAAGATTAAAAAAAATGTTTAATGTCTGTTCTTATTATAATAAAAAAAAACTGATCCTATCTCTATGAAGAATATTTAAGTGATTTCTTGGCTCTATTTCAGTCCGGAGCTTTAACACAAATTAAATATCGACCAAATGCTAATTGTGGACTGTTATAAATCTCTGAACAAAGTGTCTAAAATATTCTACTAATTGTAATGTTGAATGAAAAGAATTTTAAAAAAACATTTTAAATTTAAACAACAGAAAGCAAATGGGATTCTGGCTTATATTCTCGCTATATATTTAAAAAATTGCGCTTCTAATAATATTATCAATTTCTGATATGAATCTTTATAGAATCCTTTTCAAAACCGATCCGAATTATCCAAGATAATCCATGATTTTTTTGGAGACTAGGTATTATTCAATTATATTCCAGAAAGTTTTCCACACGAGATACAAAGAGATACTCGGCTGCTCGTTGCCGATTCTCTTGGATCAGCACATGTCCGCGTATGACGCTCGTAATTCGTTGCAATTGCTCGAATATCTCGTCCGTATATAATTTGCCCGTTTGTCGACGCTCATTACTAGGTTCGTGACCACTTAACCCCGTCGACAACTCGACGTTAATTACGTTCGTTTCTGGATGGCTCGCTGACGAATGCGAATTCGTCGTAATCGCGTTATTCTCTTCGAAATATCTTGATAAATTAAACGAGAGAGAGAGAGAGAGAGAGAAGAGAGAAAGAAAAATAATAAAAAATAATATATACGATACGTATTATTCGACCGCGGTTCGTTATCGCGAATATAAGTCTTTCGATTCTGCACGACCGGCATAAATCGATTATATACGATACGTTCGTGCTCGGATGTTCTAATTCCTGCCTCCCATAGCTATTTCAGGCGTTCTAACGATTCTCCGCTCGGCATGTAGTTTCTGGTACGCGTACCGTGTATCGATTTCGTATATCAAGGTGTACGTAAAATTTAGAGGAATCCAAATCGCTCCCCGTCAAGTCATTCGTACATCAAACTTTCTCTCTTCAGTGTCAAAAAAAAATAAATAAATAAAAAATGTCTGGAGCAACTGCGTTTCTCGTACGAAGAAGAAGTAATCTCTCGATAATTATACTCTTGATAATTAATAAGAATTGCTGTTGTACTACATCAGTTTAGAGAATATTAAATGGATCATTCTGATTTCTCTCTGATAAGATTCGAAAGTGCGCAAGTACATCGGGGACATTAAAAAGTAATCGACGATAAGAGCAATTAACCAAGCGGATAACATGGTTCCAGTTGAGTAGATTCATTAATATCCGGTCGTCGTCGGTCGATACGTTTTCTTTAATTACCCGAGTATATAAGTAAGATATCGCAAGTCGCATATTTTTATAGAGTCTTTCAATCGAACAAAAAATCAATCGATATAATGAGCATTCAAACATTTTCTTATCCAAAAGAAACAGATTTCTCTTTCTCATTTTGATCTGTCGAAAAGAAAATATCAGAAAATGTAAGTATAGAAACGGAT